AACACATCGCCTGGTCACAGATGACCGTCTGTTAGGGAAGGTAGAATTTGAGTTCTTAAGGGCGGTGAATCCGAATTTTGTAGCGCCGTGAAGTCTGGTTGAAGTTTACGGACGTTTCAAGGGTGCCTGCTGCCAGCATAATCAGGGCGAATTTCTTTGTGCCGGATTGAAAAGCAGCCAGGAATGTATGTGTTACTGATATCAACAGCTGAGTCACAAGCTGCGAGGTTACGGACAGACAGACTACAAGCAAATACGCAACTTCATAATAGGGTTTCAACTCGTTCTGTTACGCACACAAATCTGTTATAGATGCAGAGAAATTTCTTCTTCTTACTCTGAGGCAACAGTTTACTTTCAACTCTTGTGAGAGCTCAAAACGTAATCCTACTCAAATATCAAGTAAGTGTTTGTCTCATCCAAATAATATTTAAGAATTCAGTCCGTACCGCAAAGAAAACACTACGCTTCACCATTGCAAAGATCGACTGGTTAACCTTGTTTAAGGAAATAATACGACTAAAACGCTAATTAACCTTTGGAGCCGAAGCTCTTTCAAATGAAACTTAAGAATTCAGTCCGTACCGCGAAGAAAACACTACACTTCACCATTGCAAAGATCAACTGGTTAACCTTGTTTAAGGAAATAATACGACTAAAACGCTAATTAACCTTTGGAGCCGAAGCTCTTTCAAATGAAACTTAAGAATTCAGTCCGTACCGCGAAGAAAACACTACACTTCACCATTAAAAGTTAGAACTGGTTAACGCTGTTTACAGTGAGAATCATAGTGTGGGAAAAATACAGAGTTGCTGAATGTTAAAGCAGGTGATACATATATAGTTATCACCGGGTTTTAATTAGTTATAAGCGAGTTTTTTCGTGAATAACATGGAAAGTGTTAAATGACGTGCTTTACTTCCGTTCAGTTACCCCCTCCAGACCTCAACACTAGAAAGACGTTAGATTAAATATTTAAAACATTACACTAAATTATGGAAATACGTTTGTAAGTCTCGTTGTATGAACAATTCAACGTGTTTTCGTACATAAAACGTAATTTTAAAACAATAACATGGCGTAGTAAACACGCGGCACAGGAAAGTGTACAGTGCAGTTTAAACAGATGTGTCCCTTGTGTTCCTTACCTCGTGTAAGAGACCGGTTGTAATATTAATTATCCCAAGCGAGAAAACATCAGGCTTTAGAGGTTCGCCCGGTCATCGCCTACGCCTGCGTTAACCCCTCGTCACTGCAACGCGAGAAACCTCAAATTTCTGGACGAGACGTTGGGCTTAAGTGTAATGTGACTTTTCCTTAACATTCTACACCACGCAACTTTACTTATCGTTTTGTGTCCCTCCTGGAAATGTATGGGCCCTGACGACGTTATATTTTCACCATTTTCAAAAGCACCTTTAACTTTATCATACTTGACTCTTCATTATTCATCATGATAAGAAGAAAATTAATAAATTCTTTCGTTGCAAATTTATTATGAAAACATTTAAATCTGCGATTTTAAGTTCTCACGGCGATGAAAATGTCGATATTTGCCTTCCGCTGCGTGGACGTTTAGGTAGATACTACCTGGCGTTCTTCGGGAGAACCCACGTTCAAATACAGCTAGAAGACAGGATATCCTGATATAAATCAGTCATCGTTTTCCTCAGTCCCTCCAGATAATTACTGAGACACTACCTCAAGCCACACCCATCCCAATTAATTATGTCATTCTGCGAATCGATGATTTTTAATGAGCTACCGACTGACGTTAATAGATCATAAATTACGCAGTTTGAAGATTTCTGAACCTAGGTTAAGTACTAATTAATTAATCAATATCGTCTGATAATTTACGTTGCAGACCTGCTCGCCACGCCCAGTAATAATTTAATCTAATTCTTCGCCTTGTTTCCGGATAAGGCACGGTAGTTACTTAGCTTTTGCAAACACGGTTATGAAGATCAACTGGTTAACCTTGTTTAAGGAAATAATACGACTAAAACGCTAATTAACCTTTGGAGCCGAAGCTCTTTCAAATGAAACTTAAGAATTCAGTCCGTACCGCGAAGAAAACACTACACTTCACCATTAAAAGTTAGAACTGGTTAACGCTGTTTACAGTGAGAATCATAGTGTGGGAAAAATACAGAGTTGCTGAATGTTAAAGCAGGTGATACATATATAGTTATCACCGGGTTTTAATTAGTTATAAGCGAGTTTTTTCGTGAATAACATGGAAAGTGTTAAATGACGTGCTTTACTTCCGTTCAGTTACCCCCTCCAGACCTCAACACTAGAAAGACGTTAGATTAAATATTTAAAACATTACACTAAATTATGGAAATACGTTTGTAAGTCTCGTTGTATGAACAATTCAACGTGTTTTCGTACATAAAACGTAATTTTAAAACAATAACATGGCGTAGTAAACACGCGGCACAGGAAAGTGTACAGTGCAGTTTAAACAGATGTGTCCCTTGTGTTCCTTACCTCGTGTAAGAGACCGGTTGTAATATTAATTATCCCAAGCGAGAAAACATCAGGCTTTAGAGGTTCGCCCGGTCATCGCCTACGCCTGCGTTAACCCCTCGTCACTGCAACGCGAGAAACCTCAAATTTCTGGACGAGACGTTGGGCTTAAGTGTAATGTGACTTTTCCTTAACATTCTACACCACGCAACTTTACTTATCGTTTTGTGTCCCTCCTGGAAATGTATGGGCCCTGACGACGTTATATTTTCACCATTTTCAAAAGCACCTTTAACTTTATCATACTTGACTCTTCATTATTCATCATGATAAGAAGAAAATTAATAAATTCTTTCGTTGCAAATTTATTATGAAAACATTTAAATCTGCGATTTTAAGTTCTCACGGCGATGAAAATGTCGATATTTGCCTTCCGCTGCGTGGACGTTTAGGTAGATACTACCTGGCGTTCTTCGGGAGAACCCACGTTCAAATACAGCTAGAAGACAGGATATCCTGATATAAATCAGTCATCGTTTTCCTCAGTCCCTCCAGATAATTACTGAGACACTACCTCAAGCCACACCCATCCCAATTAATTATGTCATTCTGCGAATCGATGATTTTTAATGAGCTACCGACTGACGTTAATAGATCATAAATTACGCAGTTTGAAGATTTCTGAACCTAGGTTAAGTACTAATTAATTAATCAATATCGTCTGATAATTTACGTTGCAGACCTGCTCGCCACGCCCAGTAATAATTTAATCTAATTCTTCGCCTTGTTTCCGGATAAGGCACGGTAGTTACTTAGCTTTTGCAAACACGGTTATGAACGTTTGGGTTCAATAAAGAGCTTATCCCTAGATTAGATGAGCGACAGTAAGCGTCCGAACAAAAGTCGTTCGACGTGGATGTAGAACGTCGTTAGTCAGGTAAGCTGTCTGCAGAGCAGATATTAAGTCACGAAAGTGGCGAGGCTTCGATTCCGTATCGTCACGGTAGAAATCCGGACAACCGACGTTAATTGAGGACAGTTTAAGCGAACCTACAGGAAGCTGTGGGTAAACACCGCATTACCCCGACAACCGCATGTTTCCCGTACACGCAGATGAAAATAACCAGCTCACAGGACGTCTGTCTTAATCTCTGATGCAGAAATTCGTCCCAAATCTTACACTGCCCACCACCATGAAAGAGGTACAGCTCGAAGACTGAGTGATGGCCGGTGATAAGCCCCGTCCTCGTTATTCGCACTAAACTCGTGCCTTTAGCTACGGAGCTCATTCGTTGCTCCCTCGTCCACGAGTATACTTCGAGAAGTGTCCGGTGAATTATTATCTATATTCAAAGTTTAGAGATGGAATTCCAAAGTAAATTACAAAAGCATATTTTAAAAAGTCAAACTCGCGAAGTTGTTAGCAATGTATTCGATATATGGAAGAACAAAAACCCCCACCGCCCACCATGAAAGCTTGAATCGCCCACTAGTGGGCGGTAGGGACCAGGTTGACGACCCCTGGTCTACCAGAACACACGACACAACAATGCTGAATACAACCATCTTCATACTCAGCGCCGTGAGAACCTAAATCTCACCCTCTAACAGGTAAGTCGTGGCCGTCCGCATTTTCGTTTATTTCAACATGAAACTACTCAATACGAAATTCGGAATTATATTAAAATTTGCTACACTAAGCTGGTGCCATTCCCATACAGTATAATCCCTACGTTACATTAAGTTCAAATAAAATGTATTACTTTCTAATAACGGCCCATCCTGCAAGTATTTGGTGCGTTATACTTTGGTCTATAATTAAGTCGAAACTTCCACTTTAAATACATTTTCGTACTGTATATATATATATATATATATATATATATATATATATACATATAAATAGTTCTATTTAATGTGAGTTACTGAAAATATTCAGAAAGTAAATTTGGCACATTCAAATCATTTGTTTTAGACAGTGAGATACGATGTGTGAAGGAAATATATCGCTTTTTGAAGCTGATCGTTGCACATCAACCGCTTAACAGCTTTCTGTGTGCCCCTGTAAAACTTTAAATCGGTCCAGTATTTTGCGAGGTGAAACATTTGTTTAAACATGACCTCCACATTCGTGAGAGCAGTGTAACAAAACTCCGAGAGTGGTCAAAAGAATTCTGATGGTTTGTACACCCCTCCAACTAGACACAAGTACATAAGTCACTCTTTCATTTCGAAGAAACCCCTCATCACCACACAGCGGTTATGCGTTCAACTCGCGGTTAAAGAAAGGCACATCTACGCGTCTGTAAAACCTCCATTAGGGAGCTACAGCCCTTCAAATTCCGATTTGTTCATTTCGAACCAATGAACGCCATGTGGGAAAGGAACCGATCACCAGATCGGAAGGAAGGAAGCCGGAAACACACCCAACTGCTTCCACGCTGACTGCATATCCCCTCTTACCCCTACAAGAATCATCGTCATTAAGCGACTGTGGACAGTTTTTAAAAGGCTCAGACACTGGAGAGGCAGATTAGTACAACGAGTGGAGTGTGTGAGATGTGAGGTCATGTGTGTTGGCTGCCTGAACACATGTGTTCGTACGATGTTTGGCGTTTCTCCCGGAATTATACCAGGAAATATGACTAATGGGACATTGTGACACGAGAGAGCAACTCTTTTTAATCCTTTACATCTCAGTGGTAACTATTTGTACCACCTGGTTTAAGAATCAGTAACAATACATTATATATTTACGTGTTTCGTATGATTATTACTCTAAACAGCGATTATTTCCTTAAACAGCGTTAAAAAGTTGATCTTTGTAATGGTGAAGTGTAGTGTTTTCTTCGCGGTACGGACTGGGTTCTTAAATATTTAGACGAGCTTCGACTTGAAAGGGTTTACACTAAAACAAACTTCGATTTGTATGTTCCGCGTGTCAGTGATAAAACGCATGAAAAGGTGATGTTTTAGTGTTTTCTTATCAGATGCTGAACCCATTTTGTAAGCAGCTTATGAAAACACTTGTGGCTGACAGGCAGAACAGAAGTGGCTTTTACCTTCCCAAATACGCATCTGGATTCCGACAGAGTAAACGTTCGTGTGAGGTAAGTAAAGATGAAAATGCTGAATTGAATGACGGGTCTAAAGTTGTTGCATGGGTAGAATAGAAGCCGACTTCCAGCACAGAAATTGTACGAAAAGTTGGGACGGAGTGAGGAAAACCACGAAACATTAGTGATGCGGTTTGGCATTCATTACCGCTGAGCTAGTAGTCTGGGTATAGTCTTTCGGTTCACTCAGTAACTTAGTGTATTCACGTTGGCTAGATGGCTGGTTGTAAATCCTGCAATTAACTGCTGATATTCATTAATGCAAATGAATTCCACGATTAAGGGACGAATTTTAGAAATAATATTTCGAGCTACCAGTATTCCAAAAGAGCATGGTTTTGAACACGCTGTGTGCCCCCCCCCCCC